GACAAAGGCCAGAACTTCATTTACATTGTAAAGGAGTAAAAACTATCAAAGAATGAATGTTGAAGGCAAAATAACTTTCACTTTTCTCCTTAATCTAAAGTTAAGTTTTTAAAAAAGGCATAGTGTATTCATGTGTATAAGTATATATGTGTATATGCTTATATATAAATAAAATGAATGGCAACAATGGCAACAGGAAAAGAAAGAAGGAATTAATAATTTGGGAATGTTGTGTATACACGTGTGTGTGCGCGCATATGTGTGCATGTGCATGTTTGTGTGTGTGTGTGTGTGTGTGTGTGTGTGTGTGTATGCACAGGGAGGCCACAATAACCTTTGTATCTCCCTCAATCACTTTCCACTTTCTTTTTTGAGACAGGGTCTTTCTTTCATTGAACTCAAAGCTCATGGATTTGGCTAGACTGGATACCCAGCAAACTCCAGCGGTCCTCCTGTCTCCACCCCCCAGTGCAGGTAAAAAAAAATCCCACCCAGCTTTTTGGGTGTGTGATAGGGAGCCAAATCCCGTACTTCATTCTTGTACCACCAGCCCTTTACTGAGTCATCTGCCCAGCCACAGGTTTTGCTATTTTAGGGTACTCACATTACTGGCACAGTGTTATTTCAGTTTAAATGCAAATGCTTGCTGTGGAATCTACAGCAACAATTTTCAAAAGTTAACAAATGCTGAAGACAGACAACAACGGATAGCATAATCTCCAAATGCCAAAAGAAGAAGAAAAAGATGAGAAGAGGAAGAAAAGAATGAATCACAAGCAGAAAACTATAACAAATGTGGTAGATACTAATTCAACACTATTAGTCATCATGTCAAAAACCAGTCACCTACATGTCTTCTAAACAACAGAGTGAATCAGACATCAAGCACACCTCCGTGATTTTCCAAGTAACACACTTTGAAGCCACATACAGGTTAATAAAACATTGGTGATGATTATACTATGCTTATGCCCTTTGGAAGAAAGTGGGAATGGCAGCTAGGATTTCAGACACAGTAGGTTCAGAGGAGGTTTTACTATCAAGTGAGGTATTCTTCAATGAACCAGGGATGAGAGCTGTGAAGAAAATCCCGAACAAGTATGTACATAATGAGAAAGAAACTTCATGAGCAACTGATGGAACTAAAAAGAGAAATGCCAATTCCACTGTTTAGAGACTTACGCAGAAGTCAACAATTCTACTGTTTAGTTAGAGAATTTCACAGAGTGGCCAATTTAGTCGGAGACTTACACGGGAGAAAAAGTCAGGACACTGACACTTCTGAGTGACCGAAGCTTCTAGTTACTTCATCTACTGAGTAAGCATCAAATCTTCAGGTGGAGAATGGCTTCAGTCTTCTTATTCTGTGTTCTGAGATTCTCTTTGTCTTCTTCCCTCCTTCTCTGCAGAGGGAAAGCATCCATCTTGCATCAGATTGGAATGCATTATCTCCAGGAACCGGTGATCTTAGGGCTTGATGGCTCTTACTCTGGACTCTCACACTCACCAACCTTCCCTCGCTCTTTTGCATCAAATGTTTTCTTGCAGTTGGAGGTTACACACTGACACCATCGTGAGGGAGGTAAAGCACACACCATGACTCTCCTTTCAAAGTCTCTGATTCTGTCAGTCAGGCTAGGACCCAAGAATTTGAACTTCATATAAATTCTCAGATGAGGCACAGGGCACATATTGAGACCCACTGAGGCACTGAGGACTGAAGGCCACTCAGTAACAAATCCAACTAGGGTTTTTCAATTTGTAAGTCTGGCTTTCAAATTCCATGGCTTTCATTGTCTTGCTATTATTGATGTATCTTCAAACCTGATGGAGCTGGCCTGCTTTTAAGCCTTCTACTTACATAAAGTCGTTCAATTCTCAAGTACCATTCTAACCAATTTGTCTATTATTGGCGTTAGGACAAAGTAGGCGGGGGACTTTGGCAGATTCCATGCCAGGCATGGGTGACCGAGTTGGAGGGACAAACATGCCAGACAGACAGAGCTTAAGTGATAAGTTTTATTAGAAAGGGAAGGGGATGGGGAAGGAGAGAAAAGAGATATAAAGAGACACAAAGACATAGAGAAAGAGAGGACAGAAGAGGGAGACAGGAAAAGTCCTGTCCGCTCCAGGGGAACAGCAAGAAAGAGAGTGGGAAAGAGAGTGTAAGTGGGCAGGGGTCTGTCTTTTAAAAGGGTCCTTGGCACCTGCGTGCAGGCTAGCACTCATGGAACGCTGGGCTGACCAGTATACTGCCTGAGCTTATTCTGCCAGGTGACAGAGGCAGGGCAACATAATGCCTGAATCCTTGCAATTAGACCCTTGAGTAGCCCAATTTATCATCAACACACACCACTTCTTTCCCTGAATTCCTATCTCTTCCTCAAGGATGTGCCAAGTGTGTTTTTTTAAACATTTATTATGCATACACTGGTGTATTCCTGCATGCCAGAAGAGGGCACCAGATCTTATTACAGATGGTTGTGAGTCACTATGTGGTTGCTGGGAATTCAACTCAGAGCCTCTGGAAGAGCAACCAGTGCTCTTAACCTTTGAGCCATCTCTCCAGCCCGCCAAGTGTTTTTAGAGCCTAGATATTTCGTAATTTGGGGGGAAGAGCTTGTCTTTTTAAAAGATTACAATATTATCCACACAAAATGAGACATGGGATCTTGAATAGTATTAAGGTAGGTGCTCAGGTGAGTGTCAGTCTTTGAAATCGTGTCTTTGTTAATGTCCTAGTAAGTCTACCTCAGGTCTTGCTACATCCCAAATATCTCTTCAGTTGTCCTCCTTAGGTCAATACTTTCTGCCTTTGCTCATTTTTTTCTTTTTCTAGACATGTTTCTGCTCTCCCTGCTCCTCTCTCCTTGCCTCCTCTTGCCTTTCATCTTTTTTCTATCTCATCTTTTTCTTCCCCACTATCTTGCTCTTCTCTCCTCTCCTCCGATTCTCCCCCCCTCAATCTTTCTCTCCCTCCTCAGTATTAGCAGCTTATTTCAAGATTATTGCAATGAATAACAGCGAACCAAGAAGAAACACGGTGTCCTTCAATAGGTGAAAAAACTGTGGTGTATTCAGAAGAAGGAATGTTATCCAGCCACAAAATTCTATGAGCCATCAAGCAGTAAAATCACATGGAGAAATATTGCTTATTCCTAAGAGAAATAAGTCTGCCGGAAAGGACCACATACCACACAGTTACAGCTTCCTATCTAGGGAAGACAGAAGCTCTAAAGCAATGAAAAGCCAGCCATTACCAAGAGCAAGGAGGGAGGGAGGGAGGGAAGAAGGGAGGGAGGAAGGGAGGGAAGAAAAGTGAGGACACAGGGGAACTCTCAGGCAGAGAAACTAGTCAGTGTGATGCTACACATCTCATTGCACCTTGGTCAAAACTCACAAACAGTATCCCATTAAGAGCGAGCTCTGTTGGCCCTGAACCAGACCAATGATTCTTTGCAACAAACACTTGCCAGTAAAGATAAATGGATGCAAGGGTTTAGTGTATGAGTCACTGTGTCATGCTACAGCTTCAATGATGAAATATTTTTATTTCCTCTTGAATTTTATTTTATCTTGGGGGTAGTTTGCAAGGGCAGAGGGTGGATAGAAAGGGAAAGGGAAATGAATGATGGGATCAAGATGCATGTCAAAGACACAAAGAATAAAAAAGAAAGCTAATAAATAAATACATAGATAGATAAATAAATAGAATGAGCTATTTGTAAACTGTCCTGGGTAGATTTCTATTGTTGTGTTAAACAATGACTAAAAGCCACTTGGGAAGGGAAGGGTTTACTTCAGTTTGTAGTTTATAGTCCCTAACTTAGGGAAGTCAGGGCAGGAACTGAAGTCGAGGCCACGGAGATGCTGTAGACTGGCTTTTCCCCAAGGGTCTCAGTCTGACTTCTTATACCATCCAGGACCACCTGTCTAGGGCTAGCACCACCCACAGTGAGCTAGACCTTCCCACATCAATCATCAGTCCAGAAAATTAAATGCAGACTTGTCTGTAGGCAATCTGATGGAGGCATTTTCTCAACGCAGGTTCCCCTTCCCAGATAATTCAAGGTTGTATCAAGTTGACAAACTAGCCAAAACATAAGCCATTATCACTGGTTTTAAAAAAATTTACTTATAAGTCTTTTGTGTTCTCTATGCCCCTATTTAATATAAAAACCCCAAAGTTTACTGAGTTTTGAAGAGATGTTTGTAGACTCATGTTCACTGATGTATTTACCATATCAAAAATGTAGAATTCACTCAAGTCCATTTGTAGATGAATGGCTATGCAAAATATTATATAATATATATAATAATGTATATAATCATACATGATGCCTGTCATGTAACTTGAATTGGAAGAAAGTTCTGATGTATGATATAATGTGGCTATCTTCAAGACATTATATTAAGTAAAAGAAGCTAATTACAAAGGAATTAATATTGAGATTGCATTCCTACAAGGTACACTCAAAATCATAGGCCAAAAGTGGAATTCATGGGTTCATGGGTGTGAGGCAAAAGCATTATTATCTAATGGATAAAGACAATTTTTGGGGGGGTTTTGTGAGACAGGGTTTATCTGTATTGTTTTGGAAGGCTATCGGTCCAGCCCGGCCTCGAACTCACAGAGATCCGCCTGCCTCTGCCTCCCGAGTGCTGGGATTAAAGGCGTGCGCCACCACCGCCCGGCTCAAAGACTATTTTTAGGATGAAAAAATCTTCAACTAGAAGTGAACACATTAATAGTGGTGGTAATTATACAGCTATGTGGATTTACAAAATTCCATTGAACTATTGTTTAAAATGGTGACAATGGTAAACATACTATGAATATTTTACTGAAATTTAAAGAGACAACTTGATGATTTGTGCTCTAATTCAATTGGAATTCTCAAAGAGATTATATCTAAAAGGAAAAATTTGTCCCATGAAGCATAGTGACTAGAGTTAGGGGTTCCAGAGACACTCCTAATGAGCACATTTGAAAAGACACGTTTCACAACAAATAAAAGAATTTTATTGACACATGATATTCTATTACAATAACAAATATAATACATTCTTCTAAGGCTTAGTCTGAAGTTTTAGAAGCTGATATGCCCATAACTGGACCATCTTGATTTTTGGTACCATCTTCTTCAGAGCTGCATTAAAATGGAACACATGCTGTCTGGGAGGCACACGGATGTGTACAAGATTTGGATCAGTCCCAATGCTTTACACCATGGAGGTGACTGGTCCTTATCATCCTCACGCCCCTTTTTAAAAATAGTGCCATAAAAATTCAACATTTCAAATATAAAAATTATTTTATACAAATATAATTCATTATGTAATCATTCTTAAAATACAGCATTACTATATATGAGTTCAAAACATTATTACTAAAATAAATAATTCCCAGAGAAAATTTCATTTGCATCACAAATTATAAAACAGAGCATATAAAACTAATTCATGATTAAATCTTTGTCAGAGTGTCTCTCCTGCAACTGTGTGGAGACAGCATGAAGTACACACAGCTAGCTAAGAGCACATGAACACCCCTGCATATTTCCATCAGCACCTGCCCACACTGCCCATGACCTGTCTCCATGGCAACTCCCGGACCTGGCACTGTGCTGCACCAGTTTGTACTGATGCAAGTCTCCTTTACTTCAGAAGTCTTAAAGGTCTGTTGCTTTCTGGCAACACATGTGTGTCAAGCTCCACATCAAGGAAATGATCCTGGCCCCTTCCTAGGTCAGGGGCATATTGTTTATAAGGATGTTTACATGTGTGGGAGGAGGGCTGGAAGGTCTTAACCTTAATTCCCAAGATCTGGGAATTCTTATTCATGTAGGTAACTAGATGACCAGATGTCAAGTGGAGTATCTTTCAGTATCACCCTGGCTTTCTAGTATTCTAACATTTGCTTGGAGTGGTACACACAGAATGTACGGAAGACAAATACAGCCATGTGTCTGAATATCTTGGATAGCAGAAAGATGGGATACCAGCTCTATAAGCCACCGTTTCCAGGTCTCATCACTTCATCCTATTATAAGCACTATGTGCACAGTTCTTCAATAATGCAAATTAACCAGCTGTGATGAATAATAAGCTGAACAACTAACCTGGCTGGCATTTATAGCTGCCTTGCCAGCTACTAGTAGGGGGCAAATGTTTCCAGGAAAATTTGGTTTGCAAAACACAAGTGGCCCATTGTCAAATATCTGAAGTGCCTTTCAAACAATTTGGCCACCGCTAGCAAGCCAGTGACCCAGACCCATATGAATGCTCTTGATTTCTCTTCTAAAACAGTCTCTTAAAAAGCAGGGATGGGCTTCACCCTGTTTTCGAAGGCACAGACAGTGGGGTTCTCCTCCTCTGAGTCCACGAGACATCCCACATGATCCTTTTCCAATCATTTGCGCTGCTTTCTAGAGCATGCCTTTTTATCTCCTCCTTCATTTTACTGTGTATATGGCCATTAATGTGCATGTATGTCCATGAGTGTACTTGCATGTGGAGGCAAGAAGACATCCTCAGGTACTGTCCCTCAGGTGCCTGGCCTGCAACTGTCTGTGTGGGCTAGGATCACTTGCTGGGATCCACCTGTCCCTGTGTCCCAGCACTGGGTTAGAAGCACAGGGCATCCCTGGCCTTTCATTTTGCAGGGATTCTAGGAATCAACTGGGGTCCACTGAGCTGCTCCCTCGGCATCCCAGTCACTAGAGACGGGTCTCTTGTACTTCTTCTTCTGTCTCCTCCTTGACAGCCGTGATCTGTGGCCGAGGCTTCTGCTTGGTGGAGTGGCGGCTCTGGAAGAGCTTCATCTTTTCCGAGGAGCTAATGGCTTTCTGGAAGATACTCTTCTCACTCAGGAGTGCCTGAAGTGAGTCATACTGCCACACGTTGCCCTCTTCTATGACCTAGGGAAAAGGCCATTAGTGAAATCCCATATAGAGTGAAGATCAAGCCAGTGAAAGAACAGAAACGGACCTAGGTCCAAAGCAAAATAAAAGTCCAGAGGAAACACAGGATTCAGAGTCATGTATACTTTACTTAATTTTTACATCTATGAATAACTGTGAAAGCAGCAACTGGAATTTCAAAAATTCATCTCCTTCAGAGAACTGTAGAGCAACTGAAAGAGGTTTGTAAACCTGCTTGATCCACAATCCATCTCTCATATACTCTTAAGATGAGTTGTGTACACTGTACCATAAACTTTGAACTTCTTCAAAACTGAGTCTGACACCTAACAACTCCAAATTGGCTAGGCATAACTGACTATCATGCCTGCAGTGCATGTTAGAGTTTTGCAAGCCTGAGGCCAGAGAATAGAGAGCTTTACCCAGTTCCTGAATGTGACCTCAGAAGAACAAGAGATGCATCTACTCTATAGTTGCTTGCTGCTGAGTAATGACAATAGGAGTAAAAATCTTTGGTAAGAAGAGCATTTACCTCCACAACATTCATTTGGGAAAGTGAAACTGTTATGTGATGCTTGGTCCTTCTTTGTGATTAAGCGGGAGGTAATTTGTGAAGACCACCCAAAGGAGCTGTGACAGTTGGCAAAGAAAATGAGAAGGTGACTGACAAAGGCACTAACCAGACTTCCAGAAGTGATGAGGACAATTAAATAGGCCTCTCTCCTATTGTACTGCAACCACTAACATTAAAGCCCACCCCATATTTTCCCCAGGGGAAGTTTAGTTTATTGAAAGAAACAGGTTATTTTTTCAATAGTACATTTTTGAGCTTGTTCCCTCAAATAAAGATCTGAAAGCACAGATACCTGTTCTGCAATGCCATTTAGTAATATGCTACCACTGGAGGGGTGCTAAACTTCAGCATCACGTCATAGCTCAAGTCAAAGAAAAAAGGCAAATGTGGTCACACTAAGGAGAGCTTGAAGATGTGTGACATATGTATGAAAGAAGGGGTATACAACTATAGTTTATAGTAATGGATATGTAAGATGGTTAAAATAAATTGGGAATAAGACATTGAAGAAGTGTAATAGACTCACCAAAAATCGTTGACAATCCAACATTGCTTCTATCCTATGTTCACAGAGGACTACTGTGCAACCACTGAAGGTGGTTTTTAGAATTCTTCGAATTACTTGGTATGTTCTAGCAAAGCAAGAGAATACCACATAGGTATAATTTGCCTTTACCTTTGACAATATGCATAGTATCCTTTAGATTTAGTTCTTTACTTAAAAATACTTTTAGCATTATGTTGATACAGAATTAGCCACAGTTATCTTTCCAACCAGGGGTACATTCTAAGTATTTAATACATGAGACAAATGATTATAAGAAAATTTCATGAAGAATGAAGCTAAATTTTATGTAGATTCGTCAGTTCTTTATTCTGCACTATTAATGTATTTGTAATAAAAATATAGAGAAGGATAAAGATACTGAAGGAAACCATAAGAATGTGAGCATCTAACTAAATATTTCATCATATGTTGATGAGGTTGAAGAGTTTGCACAAAATTCCAGACTCCAGTCAGGAGAGGAAACAGGTATGTTATGGAAGAAAATAAGTGCTTGTGCTCACGTTTGATAGTGACAATTATTTTGTTGCCTCTACTAGCAGGCATGGTGGCAGAATGGGAATTTGTATCAATGAAGTAAAATTCAATGACTCTACTCCTATTATACTGTTACATTAACAGGGTTTCCAGAACTCACATGGGATCCAGATGGGCACTGGGCTCATCAAGCAGTAAGATCCTTGCCTTACTGAGAACAGAGCGCGCCAAGCACATTAGCTGCTTGTGTCCATGGCTTAGCACATAACCTCCATCCACAAGGGTAAAGTTGAGCTGCCCAGGAAACTGCTCTATCACAGATTTGAGTCCAACCTGTAGAAAAGAAAGGAAAACACTGTGCTTAGAAGGGGCACTCAATATACCACAGGACTAACGTTACTCAAGAGGCTGACATTCTAAAAATACACATGAGTTTGCACAGATTAAGTATCACCCTCAACTTCAAACTCCCACTTAGCATCATTAAGCTAAAGTTTGTTTCCATGTTGGTAGCCCTAAGCTGATTGCAGGATTCCTTTCAGCCCCATGCTTCAACTCAGGAGTTAGTCAGTGTGCACCTGCTAAGTGCCAAGTTCCCCATCAGACAGTGACACACAATGGTACCTGCTCCTGAAGGCTCAGGATTGACAAAGATGTACATCAATAATACATGATTAGAATGTAATTTAATGTGTGCTTTAAAGACAATAGATACAGAACACGGTTATTCACTCCATCATGACATCCTACTGTGCATTGCATACGGCAAAGGGTTCAAGAGCAAGAAGAGTAGAAGACAAGACTAGACATGGAATGTTATCTTCCCTTCTATCTGTAATATGGTATGAGAAACATCACTAAAGAGCTAGCCAAGGAAGCTTTAAAAATTACATGACAGTCGAACAGTTATCTCCTTCACTTATAAAAACTGTGAGAAATTGACAACTTTCTCATGAAGTAATAGAGAAAATGTGGTACATCTACACAATGGAGTACTATTCAGCAGAAAAAAATAATGGAATCATGAGATTCGCAGGCAAATGGATGACACTAGAAGAAACCATCCTGAGTGAGGTAACCCAGTCACAAAAAGAGAAACATGGCATGTACTCTCTCATATATGGATTTTTAGACATAGATCTGGGGAGTGCCAGCCTACAATTCTATGGCCAGAGAGTCTGGGAAACAGAAACTACATTTAGTGGCTGGTTAAGTACTGAGCTGAACTCAAGAAAGCCAGTATCAGAGAGGGAGGACTGACGATCAAAGGGATTAAGACTGGGCTGGTTTAACCCCCAGAAACAGCTGACCAGACAAAGGTTAACTCTTGAATCCCAGGCATCAGCCTGGGAATCCAGCATGGGACTGATCAAGACCCCCTGAATCTGGGTGTCAGTGAGGAGGCCTAGGTAATCTATTGAGCCTTGGGCAGCAGATCAGTACCCATACCAAGTATACACACGGACTTTGGACTCCCATAGAACAATGTGAGGTGCACTCTCACCCTGAACTCTTGGGGAAGGGTCTAGGCCCTGCCCTATATGAAATGACAGACTATGGACACTCCCTGGAGGGCCTCACCCTCCCTGGGGGAATGAGGGGATAACGGGGGGGGGGATGGGGGGAGGGCACGGGAGGAGGGGAGGGAAAAGGAGAGGGACCTGGAACTGACTTGTGAAGCAACCTTGTTTCTTATCTAAATTTTAAAAAAAGAATAAAAAAATCATTATTTGATTAAAAAAATTTTAAAAAAATTAACACAGGGCAAAAAAAAAGTTAATAAAAATGGAACATGACTAAAGTTTAAAGTTTCTTAGGTGTCGGGGTTGAATATGAAGATTCATTCATTGTTAATGGCTTATATTTTTAAACTGCAATTTTAAAAAGGTTTATAAAGTAAAAGATAAAAAATCTGTCAAAAATAAAGCATAATTACAGATGTCTTATTGGTTGTTATGTATTCAAATACATATTCATTGTCTTCTAAGAACCACCAAATGTATAAGGACTAAATGTAGATATGATTGCCTCTTGCCCTTCTGGAATCTGGATTTAGTATGTGTAGGTAAGATATATACCCATATCACTCTAACATAAGCAGATTTAGATACTGCCTTCGGGAGATCTCATGATCTTGGAGATTAATTCACAATTGGCTCCCATCACAGTTAATGCCAGGCTCATATGTGTTCATTATGGATAGTTCAAGTAAGTGGCTACTTAGAAAAATGTCTATCTCCAGCCTAGAATTTCTCCTAGTTATTTCTGAAACATTTTTCTTTGTCAACTATGGCTTACTGAACCTTGTCTGGGCTTCTTCCATTTTTTAAGCATCATGCTACAAGTATCAATGAGTCAACCTTCACAGAAATATTTAAAAGATTTTCCTAAAATGCAGATCTGAGATTGAATCATTTCTCTCTTTTAAATTCTATGTAGCTCTTTTCCTGGATGAATAAAATGTAAGTGATCTCATGTGGACACAAAAGACATCTTGAACCACCCCTCCCCACCACACACACACACACACACACACACACACACACACACACACACCTGCTATATTCCCCAGGAGCATTAGTTTTTAATTCTTTAGCCATCTCAACAGGCTCAGGATTTATCCTACTGCTCAAGTCTGAATATCCCTGGAAATATCCTCAAGTATCCCTAGGACAGCCAGACAACCTGTATTGTAGAATTGTATGTTTCCCCTACATTTCTTGAAAGTAAATATCTGTTCTTCATTTAAGAACACTCTCAGCCTCAACACATTCATTCACCCATTCATTCATTCATTTAATATCCACTGTGATCCTCCAACACTGTAGTCAAACAAAGCAGTTTTCATGCATTAAAACTTAAGGATGAAAGTCTTAGCTCTGACATTATATACTGTACTCTATAAATCTTCCAGAATCTAACTCCCCATCAAATTATAAAGTTAAAAGTTCCCAAATATGGTTAAAGAAATCAGTACCCATTACCAAACTACTTAGTAGTATTTTGCAGGCTTTTTGTTTGTTTGTTTTGAATGCTATTTTTTAAGAAATTAAAAATGTAAATTGTGCTTTTTCTGTAAATCCACTAGTGGGCAGTTTAAAAATAGCTGTACTTAGCTCTTTTTGCTGACATTCTGCAAGCTTCCTAGGGCAAATTTCTCACTTAAAAAGTCACTGTTGAGAGTGCGAGTGCACCTCACATTGTTCTATGGGAGTCCAAAGTCCGTGTGTATACTTGGGATGGGTACTGATCTGCTGCCCAAGTTTGGGGAAGGGTCTAGGCCCTGCCCTATATGAAATGACAGACTATGGACACCCCCATGGAGGGCCTCACCCTCCCTGGGGGAATGAGGGGATAACGGGGGGGGGGGGAGGTTGGGGGGAGGGCACGGGAGGAGGGGAGGGAATAGGAGAGGGACCTGGAACTGACTTGTGAAGCAACCTCGTTTCTTATCTAAATTTAAACTGGAAAAAAAAAAGTCACTGTTGTTTCTACAACACTTCATTTGAATGTTTATGTATGAAGATGGCAACTTTTTAAAATAGTGAAACAATCAAAAGAAAAGAAACATAAAATCCCACTTCCTAACTGCAAGAGTTAAGATGCCCAGATTGCACAGGTAGCTCACTGAGCTGAAACAACAGAAGGCTCAAAGTCAGGGCTGATGATCTTTGTGACATTCACCAGCCATCCTAGCAAGGTCATTCATTCCTGAAAGGAAGATTATAATACCTATCGTGCATCAAACACAAGGACATTTTCATGACACATTTTACATGAACTAAAGGAATCCCTCATTTATTCAATCATTCAACCAATATGCATCAAACAACACCCATGGGTTCACTACTGCAGACAGGACAGATACCACTGAGAGGAGGATATGATGCCATAACCCTGGTGAAGAGTTATACAAGAAATACAGAGTGGTCACTAGATGAAATTTGATTCAGTGTAGGAAATTTTAAGGAACTGAAAGCATGGGATACACCTAGAAAAGTCTCCTTTCCCAAAGCTGTAGGGTCAGGATGGGTTTCAAAGAGATGTGCTGTGTAGCAAAAGGCTTGAATGATGAGGAGGAACAGGAGTGCGGGACTGGGAGGGTTTCCCAGGTACAGAAAGAAGCAGCAAGTACCACCCCCAGTTTCTACCATAGAACAGAGAGCCTTCTGTGCCTTAAAGAAACTTGAAATTAGCTGGGTGGTGGTGGCGCACGCCTTTAATCCCAGCACTCGGGAGGCAGAGGCAGGCGGATCTCTGTGAGTTCGAGGCTGGGCTGGACCGACAGCCTCAAAAACAATACAGAGAAACCCTGTCTTGTAAAAGCAAAAAAAAAAAAAAAAAGACAGTTGAAATTTACAGTAGGTGGATCATAGGACACAGGGGAGGTAGAGGCTGAGAGTAGAGTGGCAAAGATCAAATCACAAAGGTCCTTTAGCCAATGTACAACACGTACCATGCCCAACAGGCAATAGAGAGGCACAGGGAGATTGATGGGCAGCAGGCTTAGTAAGCTCTCCAGAGCTGCACAGGGGAGGGAGCTGCCCTGCACCAGTCCAGGAAGGCTAGACTTTTGTCCCAGTGTCTTAGCAAGCTGACACACCCCAACATGTCCGTTTGCATATATTGGATCATCAGCCATAAAGGATTAAAGCCCTGGAGTTGTGCCTTTTAACCCAAATCTCCTTTCTACTGCTGTAGGATAGGGCTTGGAGCTTGAGTCAACAAAAGACTTGTCACTCTTACTCAGACCATGGGATATTAAGGTTATCTCAGAAGCAAGATCTTTATGAAAATAAATTTAAAAGGAAGATCAGGGAAAAGATAAATCTAAATATGGACTGATGGACAAAATCTAGGCCATGTGACTATCTGTGTTACATTGGAATCCAAAGTCTTAACCATCTAACATTTTAGATGATTTTATGATCCTGGTTTCCTACAAATTTTATGGAGACTTGGCAGTACTTGTAGGTTTTATAAAGCCTAATATCTTCTTTCCCAAGTTCTCTCCAGCACACTGTATTCTTACAGTTCACACTGTAAAATCACATCCAGGATCTTATAGCGTGTCACTGGCAATTTAGTTAATGTTTTCTTTAAAAACCTTGCATTTGTTGGGTAATAAGGAAACCTTGATAATGAAAAATGGTTAATGTCAGCACACTTTATTAGGGGAAGGTTAGGGTTGGTTACTCAAGTGGCTAGCATTTAGCACTCTGAGGCTTCAAAGCTCCTGGCAAGATATACTCTGGAGGAAGGCAGGAAGGGAGAAACAGCAAGGGAACAACCATCACCAAAGCGCAGGGAATGGTGGTATGCTAGTATGACACGTCTAAAGCCCAAAGCCTCATGGATCTGGCTGAGTTGAGAATTTGAAATCTCTAGTGCTAAACTCACACTGAAATGAATTAAGGTTTTGGGAGTTGTTGAGATGGACTGTTATATTTTCATAAGAAAAGACAGGATTTTGGAAGAGAGTAAAGGAGGGAGTTCTAGGTCTCCATGTATAAATCCTTTAGAAACTCATGTTAAAGTATTAAAGACCAAGATAGTGCTAGTCAGAGATAAGTCATTAGGGAAGTGATTAGGTCATTGGGTCTGAGTCCCCCATGAGCCTTCAGAGTCTTCATTCACCACTAAACAAGGAGTGAGACACAGCAAGTACATCTCAGTACTGATAGGAAGTAGGGCCTCAGCAGACAACAAATAGTGTCTCCTGGCTCCAGACTTCCCGGTCTCCAAATGATGAGAGATAAACATATGTTGTCTATGAACAACTGAGTCTATGGAGCTTTTTTACAGCAGCATGAACAGACTACACAGTAAGGACTGCCTCCCCTGAGAAGAGGGGTGAGGCTAATTCCAAACATGAATGTGCCGGGTAAATTAGAGCACTGTGTTTACAAAGCATATACACATACATTCATGCATTCACACATGTACATACAGAAAGATGTGTAAAACTGCATATCATCTATGGCAACCACACGTGTGTGTGTGTGTGTGTGTGATGCCTCTTTAAATCCATTTCACTTAGCATCCTTACCTCATCTGCAACTTTCCATATTTCTTCATCTCTCCATTTTCCATGGGGATCCAGGTTTTGTCTGAATGTTCCAGAAAAGATAAATGCTTTCTATAATGACAAAAAAATTTGAAAGTATGAATAGCCCATTCATCTTTTTATATTTCTTTGTTCCAAAACATTTCAAGAAATGAAACAAAACAAACATGCATGTATTCACCATCTACTTTTCTTAAACTGTAATATTTTATATCACTTTATTTATGTTAGAAACAATCTTATTTTACATATCAATCCCAGTTCCCTCTCTCTCCCCTACTCCCATGTCCACCACAGACACCCCGACCCAACCCCGCCCCAATCCACTCCCCAGGGGGAACAGCGAATGTCACACGATTTCAGCCAGGGCCTAGGTCCTCCCCCATGTATCTAGGCTGAGAGAGTATCCCTCCATGGGGAATGGGCTCCAAAGTTCATTCATGCACTAGGGATAAATACTGTTTCCACTGCCAGAGGCCCCACAGACTGCCTAGTCCTCCTAGCTGACACCCATGTTCAGGGGGCCTGGTTCAGTCCTATGCTGCTTCCTCAGTTGTCAGACTGGGGTCTCTGAGCTTTCACTGCTCAAGTCAGCTGTTTCTGTGGGTTTCCCCAGCATGATCTTGACCCCTTTGCTCATCACTCCTCCCTCTCTACAACTGGATTCTAGGAGTTTGGCTCAGTGCTTGGCTGTGAATCTCTGCTTCTGCTTCAATCAGCTACTGGATGAAGGCTCTAGGATGGCATTTAACATGGTCATCAATCTCATCATAGGGGAAGGGCATTTAAGGTAGGCTCTCCATTATTGCTTAGATTCTTAGTTGGGGTCATCTTTGTGAATCTCTGAACATTTCCCTAGTGCCAGACAAACCTATAATGGCTTCTCTATTAAGTAATCTCTTTTCTTGCTCTCCTCTATTCTTCCCCTGACTCAATCTTCCTTTTATTTCACCTTTAAAGAAAAAATATATAACAGCATTTGAAACTCTTTTTGAAAATTTCTTTCCTGTTGAGGCCACTGCATATCATGGAGAATGGAGTATTTTATTCTACTTACATTCTTCATTATAAGCAAATGTAATGTATAAGTAGAAAAATTAAAATAACATGTGTATGATGTGAATTAAATTGCCAGGACAAAGCCCTAGTTCTTTACATGTATTTTACTTGGATTTCGCTGATGAACTAGTTTCCTAAGACACTGTAAAACCATGTTAACACATGGAAACTTATTCAAACACACATTCTCAGTTAGTTTATAAATTTGTGTAGCGCGTAGCATCTTGCTCACATGGACAGAGAAAAACAGAAGGAAGGACAACTTAGAGACTCCTAAGTGATCATAGAGCAACCATTTGTTCAAAGGCATGTGTGCTGGGGAGAAGAGGCAGATGCTCCAGGTGTGGAAACAGCAGTGCATGGCCATCACTGAGATGTTCCATTTGCAGAAGCACTGCCACTTAGGTAGCCATGTGATTAAAAGAAAACCACTCTCTTAACAAGGAATCAGGCAAAAGTAAGATTTCAAAGATAATATTTAGTTCTCTCTGTGTACACAGAACACTGGCAAAATAATTTTGGTGTTAATGTCTAAGGTAACTTTTTTGTGGCCTTTTCTTCTCTGACTTGCCTCTCTGTAACAGCTGAAGCACACAATACAAATGTTCGCATTGGCCAAGCAGAATAGTGCCATTATTCTAGAAGACAGAAAGGAGTGGGCAAGTTGTTTTATCCTGCAAGGGAAATGCCTACAAAGATGCTGTGGTAGTTTGGTTCTGGTGGGGCAGGGATGCCTACAAGCAGGAAACTAATGTCTTTCATTTCCATGCCTTGTAAACCAGAGCAATTGCGTCCTACTTCCATTCTTTCTGGTTCTCATTTTTTCAGTGTAAGACGTGAAAGGCATTATGATTTATCTCACTCCTCAATCTACCTAAATGAAATAAGCCATTGTTCATTTATTTTATTCCCAAACTATATGTCAAATCAACCTATTTCTCAATTTCTGTTCCCATGAAGTAGTCCACACCATCACTAGCTCTCTCTGTGTCACTGAAAGAGCATCCTAATTGGTTTCTTTCTTTATACTCTTGCTTCTCTTAAAATGCATTCAAGTAATTCATGATAAATGGAAATGAGACATTTCATTAATGTTTTAGAAAACTTTCAATGACTTCCCATTTCCCTTAGGGCACAAAACCAGTTTGATGACCATAAAATCTGTTTGATGGTCGCAAAATCTTATGGCCCCTTTCCACTCCATTCTAGTCTAACTACACAGACTTTCTTAACTTCTTCACATAATTTATTCTTCTCAACTGGAAATATCCATGATCTTCACAAGGCAAGCTCTATCTTTCATTTTTCAAATTAAATTGCATTTTCTAGGGGCACTATTTTTTATCATTAAACCAAACAGGCTCTCCCAATTATTTCTTGTACTTTCATTCCTTAAATAATACTAAGTCTAGGTGCTGGTGATGTTGCTCAGTTGGTAAAAATGCTTACTTAATTTGTAAGAGGCACTGGATCTGATTCCACAAGCACATCAGCTGGGCACAGTGGCATGTGCCCATAAGCCCAACACTCAGGAGGCAGAAAACAGAGAATAAAGGTTTCAAGGTTGCCCTTTGCTACACAGAAAGCCAAAGGCCAACGTGGGTCACATGTCTCAAAGAAAACAACTAAGATTAAGTGCACATCTGTGAATATTTGGTTTATAATGCTCATATCTCCTTGGAGACCATGCCTTTACTTTCTACTGTAGACACAAGCTTTGTATAAGTTCAAAAAATGCTGCCAGAATGAGTGTGCTGATATGGAGAAAAGTTCAAAATAATCACATTAGAGTAAATATTATTTTTTCTCAAATGTGAATGTTAATTTCGATAAGCTACTCTCTGGGTAACAAAGGTGTGTGTGTGTGTGTGTGTGTGTGTGTGTGTTGTGTGTGTGGTATGTGTGTGAGAGGGAGAGATGGAGAGAGTTTGTGTGTGTATGTGTGTGTGTGTGTGTAAGACAGAGAAAGATCTACTAAATGTGACCCAACCTACAAGTATCACAATTGCTTAAAGTGTAACACTAACAACATTGACTTTGTGAAGAGTCCTCATAGCTGCTTCAGAAATAGAATGCCTAATTTTTAATTATTAGTCTATAGTCTATATTAGTTTATTAAATTTATGACATTTTAACTAATTTATTTTAAACAGATACAAATTCATAATTATGAAGGAAAGAAGCTGTCTTTTAGGAATCTAAAAGCTTTAGGTGTGGTGGATTTACTACAACTCAGAATCTTGCAGACCTTTTGTTCGTAATTTTTTGTCTAGCAAACTACACATCCAATTTTAAAGACGAAATGACTGAACAAACTGGTTCAGTTAGAATTCAATCGTACGCAATCAATCAGACATTCCATTCCTGTAATTCAAAGAGAACCTGGCAGTTGCTTGCTTTTACAGTGCCAGCAGATGTCTTGCTTGTGTTTCCTAAACTGTTTGAACAGCCCACAAACCCCTCGGTAGAACTGAAAGGTCCCTGGAGGTCAACCTAAGCTCTTTCTCTCTGTTTTACAAATTCAACAGTCGCAGCCTGGGAAGTGGCACAGGTTGGCCAACAAGCACTCTCAGATCCGTGCACCAAAGAAATGCACCTGAAACTTCCAATCACAAGGATCCCCTACAGGTCTTGTAAGAAACTACTCACTAATAAGAAAGTTAGGGCAAGCAAATATTTGATATTTATTTAATGTCATGTATAGTATAAAGAGCAATTCTTGAGACTCTAGGCAGAATAAAGAGATCACATTGTTCACCCCATGACTAATCTCTTCCCTGAAACTGACTCCTCCATTCCTCAAGTCTAGCAGCTGAGCCTACATGGACTTCCTATGGCTGCTCTATCACTACAACGGGCACTAAGCTGTAGCACTAGAAAACAAAAAAGCAATTCAGCTTATGTGGTGAATGAATTTAAAATAAAGTAAATAAATGGGAGAAGTGACTGTCCTTGTATACATATATGTGTATGTCTATATCACTTGAGATGTGGCCCAAATGCTTGGAGATAATAATGTGGTTGAAGTCTCTAATCATTTCTGCTGCAGTTTCCAGACAGTAAAAACACATTTAGGATGAACCATCACAATTCTCAGGTGCATCAGAATGTTTAAAATTGATCATTGTTTTGCTCTAAAGAACATGCATCAATTAGAAAATTTTGAAGAATATATTTGTATTCAGAACCACTGATAGTTTGTAACAAATACAGACTGTTATACCGTCAATGTGTATGCCATTTATTTAAATATAAAACACCGTATGTAAGATAGTAGAAATACAGTTTCCTGGAAATCCATTCAGTGAGTCATAACTTTTTTTTATACTACAAAGTTTTAAAGATAGATAAAAAATGTTCTTTCTAATCATAACATGTAATCAAAAGTTTTGAATTTTAGGCTCAGAAATAGCTAACCTCTGTTGTATTTATTTGAAAATGGGGCATGTCAGTTACTTTCATGCCTTCTCTTGAATTTTGCATTGTGTCCAACTGTTTACATCAGTAAGTTCTAATTAATCACATCACAGTGTGATCATCTGACAGTCCATCATGTGTGTACCAATGCTCCACCATACCTTCTCCAGGATACCTTCCTAACCCCAGGAGAATCAGCCCTTAGATGCTAGACCATGTGATGACTTCTCCAAATTCTCCCTACTCTGTGATGGCTCTGACACTTCTCCCTTTCCCTTCGTATTGACAACTTTCATTGTGAAATTATCCATACTCATTTATTCACAATTATAGAACATACCCCCAATGCAATATACAGACAAAGGAGACATGGTTTTTTTTCTCATAGAATTATAAATGATAATAACTATCACACAGAGAATAATACTCAAGCAGTATGGAAATGAAGAATCTGAAAACTTTTCACTGAATTTCTACAAAAGTACAAGGAATTGTTATTATTATGCCCATTTTACAAATAAGGAGAGCAAGACACAGAAATAAAACAAATGACTTAAGACTATACAGAGAGCCCAAATGCTGACAGAGCCACAGATCAGAGAAGACAGCAACATTTAGTGATTCAGGATAGAACAATGTATTTTGAATTCCTCACATGCACGGTGTTACTTTACATGTCTTATAACTGAGGGATAAATTCAGAAGAAAATTATATTATTTAGTATTTCTATCAGTCTTTTATATTTATGCTTCCATTTTTATCACTGTGTTTAAATCTTGCATTTTAACTAGAATATCTACAATTAGTTTATAAATTAAAGACATATGCAGATAATTTGAAAATAAGATATATCAGAAGTGCAAGGAGAAACTCATAAACAAGGTTTAATAACACATTTGGGTGTGCCCAGTGAAAGCAGAACATTTGTTTTGGAGGAAAACAAACCTTCAATTAGTAAAGTGTGACCTGTAAACAGTTACATGTTTGCTACAAAAAAAAGAGTTATCAAGGCAAGACATTGAGAACAAAGGACAGAAAGGAGGAGCATTGATCTCCTGGGAGCAGTGATGGCAGCTTTGGGGCCTAAACATCTATCACAGTCTACACACTAGTCCCAACCTTGACAGAGAGCTATGTTCGATTACTGACTTTCAGTTTCTCACTTTGGACTCAGTCTTTTCTTTAATCTCTGTCTTATGACAATGAGCATCATTTTTAATTTATCATCAGAAGTTTACAGGTTGGCCTGGAACTTCTCTGTGGCATAATAAGGAAAAGTAGCATCTCTACATTTGCTAAAAAGTCTGTAATATAATTACAAGCACGGGGTTTAATGATTTTATATGGTAAACTTTAAGATTCCATCTATTGCCCCAGCAATTTCAGATTATATCCACACATGTATGTAATGTCTCCCAAACTCCAAGTCTGTGTGGTGAGAATGAAGGGAGGATGTTGGGTATTTTCAAATCATTAAGAAATGGAGCCAGTGAGACAGCTCAGTGGATAAAAGCATTTGCCACACAAGCCTCATGACATTAATCCAATCTCCAAATTCCACAATGGAAGAAGAGAACAGATTCCTGAAAGCTGTGCTCTGACCTCTCCAAGTGTGTCATATCATGCACACACCCATAATTCTCCCTTCCTCTCATACACACACCAGGTACAATGAAAACAAAAAATAAAAGCTCGAGTCATTTACTCAGAAGAGCTTCTAGTCTTCTAAATTTATAACTGAAGCTTTAAATTAATTGTTTTTCATGGATTTATCTGTTTGACAAGGTCCACAGTTAGTAACCATTTTCATCATGCTGCTCTAATTGTCTAAGCCAGTGAGATGCCAACTACCATCTTCATCGTCTTCTCTTCTGACTGGAAACTCACAGCCAAAATAGAACAAATGAAAGAGACTCTACTTTGGAATGTACATAATAGTCTGTATTCTGAGATTACTTTCAAGATGCTAAACTATGAAAACAAAACAAATAAAAACAAAACACCTGCCAGGAACTGCTCAAACCAATGGCATCTTGTGACTCCGCAGCTAATGTTTCAGGATCCTCTGTATGAGAGAGGGGATGTTTTTCAAGATACCTGTTTCATGTGTCTGCAAAACAGTGGCCAATGAACCTGGAGTATTACACTAGTTCAAAGTGAGAGTGATCTTCAGACGTTTGCCCTTGTAAGTAGAGACATAGGAGAAAGGAAAAGATGAAAAAGCATCGGCTCTCTCTTTATTCTTTGCTTCTTTCTGAATATTAAACTCCAGGAAAGGAAAAACATGTTGTAATTCCTACTTTCCAAAAAGAGTCAGAAAAAGTAAAGCGGCCCTTAACTTAGCCATCAAGTATAGGAGGACTTTGTCCTCTTTCTCTTACTTAGGTATTTGCATGATGTTCAAAAATTGTCATTGATACGATGTTAACCTCACTGGCAAATATTCTTGAGACACTGAGCATAGCAGCTAATATGGCCCTCATCAGCATTTCTGAAGGAGCTTCTGAACACATTTATTCCATTTTTTAAGATGTAAATGTGATACCATCAAAGAGCAGAAATGGATAGAGGCAAGTCTGAAGACTGACAAGCAGAAAGGCAAGACAGATTTCCCTAACTCTGGCCCATTCTGTTGTCCTCTGGGTCTTGTGTATGGAAGTTCCTAAGCAGAACTAGTAAGGAGTACAGAGCCCTTCTATTGCGTGGCAGATACAGTGAGGGACAAGAGGCATGACCTTTTGGAGCTTGGCTTTTCTAGTGGGTATACATGTGTTAACAAGAAAAACAAAGGCAGAGCCTCCACTGTGTTAGTCAAAGTCGGGAGCAGATTAGGGGCGTTCCACAGCAGTGCCTCTCTGACAACCACACTCGCGTCCCTCGCTCAACGTTTTCACTCTATCGCCCCGGGAAACTTGTGTTTCTATGTTTGCTTATCTTTAGACCATCGGACAGTCCTTTTGACTTTAAAATTGTGTTCCCACAACTCCAGCCAGGATGAAGCTTCTGGAAAAAATGGCAAACTACAGAAATGAATTGAAAGCATCAGTTTGGCAGTTACAATATTTAGTGCCTCATCACTTGAAAGGAGCAAATGGTCTGTGAAGATCATGAATCAAGAATACAAGCATCTTCTTGGACTGGATTTGTAGTTGGTCTACCCGGTGATGCTTCTGGCATGCTAAGTTTGTGTTACAAGTACAGGTGTCCTTAAAGAATCATCTTAGTGGGCTGGGTCCAATGCTTAGCAGAACAAAAGGAGGAGAAGCACTGGAGAAAAGGGCAAACAGCATCAGAAACACCGCAAATGTCTTCTGGCTTCAGTCGCAGTGAAGACTTCTCTAGGCTTGCATCTGGGTCACTTCACTGCAGCTGCTGCTGTCTCTCTTTTGTATGGGGTGTCAGCTTGTGCAGTAACACACAGAATGGCACTCAACTGAGATTAGAGATCCTGTCTGACCCAAATCAAAGGCTGACACTGACAAGCTATAGGTTAAAATGACACAGTTCTTCCTATTCAAACGCCAAAGGACAACCACTGAACTTTTGATTTCCAATCCCACCATGTCATGCTTCCAAGAGCTCGTGATTTTGGAAGCATCTTTTGTATCTTGCAAAGTGTTTACCCATGGGCTGCTATCACTCACTTGGAGCTCTGAACACTGAAGAAGGACTATGAAAACAGTCTCAAAAATGTCCCAGGCTGCTCCTACAGATTTTGCTTTGGGAAAACACTATCAAACATTTCAACAAATACATATCACACAGAATTCCAAACTTTGGGAGGAGCTTTTATGCCTTATGGTACATTTTTCTTGCACAGCAGGAGAGATAGCAAAACACACCAAATATATTTTGCAGAGTGATAAGAATTTCTTATGTATGTCCAACAGTGATAAACATGTCAATTTTTATTGTTGGTTTGGTTTTTACATTTTTGTGCTCACCTGTGTTATTACTCCAAAAGCTTTCCTCCATTCGTGTAAGGTCACTGAGTTCCACGAGACGCCATCGATCTGTATATCACCTTTAATGTCCAATAAGCATAAAAATGCTGACAACAAAGTACTTTTCCCTGAGCCAGTTCTTCCTAAGAGGCCCACCTAAGATATAAAAGTGACAAAATTACTTCTGAGACAAGAAGAGCACACTACATATTCCACTCAGTACAGTCTTCAGTTAAAACCAGTAGGATTGTTCCTCTTGTCACCTATTCATTTAAACTTTTTACATGCTTCCAAATCTCATCATTATCAATACTGGAAAGAATAATCTGGAGCAGAAATCAGAAACTTCCCATAAAGGATTGTATTCCTGACGCTGCTTCACTGACCACTGATAGGAAAAAGTAAAAAGTGTCCATTTTGCACTAAGGAAAGATGACATAGTGTATCTTGATGCACACCAGCTCTATGAATGGGCTTAAACTAAAATCAGGGTCCTACAGATTGATGTACTGCAGAAAATTGACCCTAACTAGGCTAGGGAGTGGGGCTCATTCATGGAGCCATAATTGTTTAGCATTTACAAGGCTCTGGGTTTGGTTCCCAGCATTGAAAGTGGGAAGAAACATTCTGCCACTAAAAAATTAAATAGTGTCAAGTTCAGCCCTGATGATGAAATAAGAATATTTTCAGATAAGCATATATTTCACAGAATGCAGGTTGATCTGAAGTTTCAATACAACTCAGCTCTTTGGTAATGTTCAAATCAAGTCCTAATATATGGCCCTACTGGCAGGAAAGGAATTTGAAGAAACAAACAAACCAAAAAAAAAGCAAACAAAAAACAAAACATTGTTATTAAAGAAACTATTCTCGCTATTCAAAGACCAAAGTTACAAGAGCACAGCATTGGATTGAGGCTGCCTCCATTTACATGAGATCAGCAGTCTAACCAGCTCACAAAGGTCTCACACTTTGTTCTGATTATGGTTTGGTTTCCTGAGATCATTAACTAGCCACAGAAAAAGCTGCTGGATATCTGCAGCATTTAAAATGTGTTTCATCCTGTTCACATTGCCCCTTGATCCCTTATCATCTGACCTGTCTGGAGAGAAAGTTTCATTTAGGAAAATGCACTTCATATAAATCCCCTGAAAATTAATACTTTAAATATATTATAAAATGAATTTCTAAATATTTGCAGATTTTATACTTATTTTATCATAGGCTACTAATAACTTATGAACCCAAACCATTGCATAGGACACAATAAGCAAAAATAATAAGAGTAACTTACTGGGTATTTATTGGTAACTTGGCAATAATGGAGGCCTTTGTTATAAGCTGGTAAAGAATAATGACAATAGTAATTGCCTTCCTAAGCAACAGAAAAACTCTACAAGGTGATTTTCAAAAATTTTTATTGGGAAAATATGATTAAGCAAATGTTATGCAGAAGAAGTTGGTAATTATTTACTTTCTCTATTTCTTTTCTTTATATAAAGACTATAAATTCATCAAAGGTTGCATTATTTACCTAGTGTTTTTGTTTCTCCATCTGGGATAATATGGGCTTGCACAACCTCCTCAACAAACACTCACTTGGACTGACGTATGGATAATCAGATTGGAGGATGAAAGAATGGGAAAATGGATGGATGGGAGAATGGATGAATAAAGGACCAATGGGCACTTGGCTAACAAAAGGTGGTCAATAAATATTTACTAGGGTGGAGTGACAGACAGATAAATGAATGAATTAGCACATATATTTATTTGACCGTTCAAATAAATAATTCTTAATCTTAATTTTAAAACCTTGAGGAATTCCATGTTCACATTTCCATTTCTCAATAGCCCATGTTAAGCATATACATACATATTCGGGGATCTCCTGGCCTGGTGACTGCAGGCAGGTCAACTCGCCCCAGGTGAACCAAACCATTCAGAGTCTGCTGATATCATGGTGCTAGTCTTGCCCCACTTAAGGGAGAAGTGATCTTGGGCCCTGCCTCAGGCCTCACTTCCACTTGCCCTCTTTGGGATCTCCTGTCCTGGAGACTGTGGGCAGGTCAACTTGCCCGAGGCAGATCAAGCCATCCAGAGTCTGCCTTGGTCCCTGTGCTAGTTCCACCATCACCCACTGGGAGAGGGAGTGTCTCAGACCTGCCTGCACCCAGACCCATAGGAGTATTGAACCTGCTTGCGCCCACCTGAAGAGATGCATAGACCTGTACCCACGAGAGGAAGAGACCCCACCTGTACTCACTGGAATAAGGGATGGGAAGACGACAATATAAGAGCACATTCAACAACAGAAAAACCAATATGACGCTACCAGAGTCTAGGGACTCTACACCAGCAAGACCTGAACGTGCCAACACAAATGAAGCAGAAGAGAATGACCTTAAAAACAAACTTCATGAAGATGATAGAGGCCCTAAAAGAGGACATGAGAAAATCCTTTAAAGAAATGGAAGAAAAAAACTAACGAAAAATTTCAAAAAATGGAGGAAAAGACAACATTGCAAGGTTTGAAAGCTGAAATAGAGATAGAAAAAAAAACAGTCTGAGGGAATTCTGGAATTAGAAAAGCTAGGGATGGAAGAGAGAATCTCGGGTGTTGAAGATACTTTGGAGAAATAGAAACACAGACCAAAGAAAATCTTAAATCCAACAAATCCCTAATACAAAATATCCAGGAAATATGGGACATGATGAAAAGGCAAAACCTAAGAATAATAATGATACAAGGAGATGAAGAAACCCAACTCAAAGGTGCAGAAAACATTTTCAACAAAATTATAGAAGAAAGCTTTCCCAACCTAAAGATAGACATGCCAATGAAATTACAAGAAGCTTACAGAAAACCAAATAAAGTGTACTGAAAAAAAGTCCCCTTGCCACATAATATTCAAAACATCAAACATGCAAAATAAAGAAACAATATTAAGAGCAGCAAAGGAAAAAGGCCAGTAACATATAAAGGCAAATCTATCAGAATTGCACATGACTTCTCCATAGAAACTCTGAAAGCCAGAAGGTCCTGGATATTCTATAAATACTAATAGACCACAGATTCCAGCCCAGACTACTATACCCAGCAAAGCTTTCGATCACTATAGATGGAGAAAACAAAATATTCCAAGACAAAACCAGATTAAAATAATACATATCCACTAATCCAGTCCTACAGAAAGAACTGGAAGAAAACTCCAACATAAGTAAGTTAACTATACTCACAAAATCATAGGAAATAGATAACCAAATGCCCAAAGAAAAATCATGGTAAATCCACAAACAATAATTCCACCACCAACAAATCCAAAACAAGAGTAAACACTCAATTGTCCTTAATTTCCATCAATATTAATGTTCTCAATTTGCCTATAAAAAGACATAAGCTAGCAGAATCGATACAAACACAGAATTCATCCTTCTGCTGCATACAAGAAACACACCTCAACTTCAAAGACAGTCATTATCTTACAGTAAAGGGTTGGAAAAAAAGATTTTCCAATCAAATGGACCCAAGAAACAAGCTGGTGTAGCTATCCTAATATCTAACAAATTAGACTTCAAACCAAAATCAAGCAAAGAAATGAGGAGGTCATTTCATATTCATCACAGGAAAAAGCCATCAGGATGAAGTCTTAATTCAGAACATCTATGCACCAAATACAAAGGCATTTACATTCTTAACATTACTAAAACTTGGCCAGGAGGTGGTGGCACACGCCTTTAATCGCAGCACTCGGGAGGCAGAGGCAGGTAGATCTCTGAGTTCGAGGCCAGGCTGGACCGACAGCCTCCAAAACAATACAGAGAAACCCTGTCTCAAAAAAACATTACTAAAACTGAAATCACATATTAAACCCTACACACTTATAGTGGGAGACTTCAACACTCCACTCTCACCATTGGACAGGACTACTAGACAGAAACTTAAGAAACAAAGAAACTAACAGAAGTTATGACCCAATTGGGTTTAACAGATATCTATAGAACATTCCATCCAAACACAAAAGAATGTACCTTCTCAGTGTCACAAGGAACCGTCTCCAAAATCAACCACATACACAGCAATAAAGCATACCTCAATAGATACAAAAAAATGGAATAAACCCCTGTATCTAATCGAACCACCATGACTTAAAATTAGAATTCAGCAATAACAGAAATGGCAGAAATCCTACAAACTCAAGGAAATTGAACAATGCTCAACTGCATCACTCCTAGGTAAAGGAAGAAATAAAGAAAGAAATCAAAGAGTTCCTAGAATTTAATGAAAATAAAGGCACAACATACCCAAACCTATGAGACATTCTGAAAGAAGTGCTAAGAGGAAAGTTCATAGCAATAAGTGCTCATATGAAGAAACTGTAGAATATTCCCACTACAGAATTAACAGCACAACTGAACGCTCTAGAACAAAAAGAAGCAAATTTACCCAGGAGGAGTAAATGCAAGGAAATAATCAAATTGAGAGCTGAAATCAATAAAGTAGAAACAAAGAAAACAATACAAAGAATCAATGAAACAAAGAGCAGGTTTTTTGAGAAAATCAAGATAGACAAACCTCTATCCAAAATAATCAAAATGAAGAGAGAGAACATGCAAAATAACAAGACACTGGGGAAATGGAGATAATCTTCAGGTCATACTTTGGAAACCTTTAATCCACAAAATTGGAAAATATAAAGGAAATGGACAATTTCTGGATCGATATCACTTACCAAAATTAAATCATGAACTGATAAGCAATTTAAATAGACCTATAACCCCCAATGAAATTGAAGCACTCATCAAAAGTCTCCCAGCCAAAAATAGCCCAGGGCCAGATGATTTCAGGGCAGAATTCTGTCAGAAATTCAAATAAAAGCCAATACCAATACTCCTCAAATTGTTCCACACAATAGAAGCAGAAGTATCACTGCCAAACTCTTTTTACAAGGTGACAATTACTTGGTACCCAAGATACACAAAAACACAACTAAGTAAAAGAACTACTGTCCAATATCCCTCATGAGCTTTGATGTAAAAATACTCAACACAAGAACGCATCAGAGAAATCATCCAACATGATCAAGCAGGTTTCATCCCAAGGATGCAGGGATGGTTTAACATAAAAAATCTATCAATGTAATCCACAATAAAAC